TATCTGTAAACCTAGTATTTTGAGAGGCCAAGGTGGGCAGATCACTTGAGCCTAGCAGCTCAAGACTAGCCTGGGCAACATGGCGAAGCCCTGTCTCTACAAAAAATACAAAAAAAAAAAAAAAAGCTGGGTATGGTGGCGCATGCCTGTAGTTACAGCTGTTCAGAAGGCTGAGGTAAGAGGGTCATTTGAGCCCAGGAGGTCGAGGCTGCAGTGAGCTGTGATTTTATACAGCCTTTCAGAATAGTTTCCAACTTTAATGAGACAATATAAACCTGATACAAAACATACAAGTATATTATGATAAAAGAAATCACAGGACAACCTTCTCATTAACATAGACACAGAAATACTTTTTTTAAAGTAACATTGAATCTAGCAAAAATGAAAAGGCTAATAAACCATATCCAAGTGTGGTTTATTCCAGTAATAGCTGTTGTTTTACCATATGAAAATCAAGGAATTCACCTTATTAACAGATTTAAGAATTTCTTTTCCAGACCTCTCAGGATTGACAAGGATTTCTTAAAAGACCCTGATACATGCAGAGAAGGCACTAGATAAAATCTAATGTCCATTCATGATTTTTATAAAACAATCTTGACGATCCAAGAACAAAACAGAATTCCCTTAATTTGATAAAGGTTATTTATAAAAAAACTTCTAGGTAGTGTCATACTTAATGGTGAAATATTAAACACATTTCCCTAAGTTCAGAAACAAGGCAAAGATACTCATTTTCATCATTTCTATTCGTTACTCTAAAGAAATAAGGCAAGAAAAATTAGCAAAAAATCAAGTTTAGAAATTAGGTAAGACTTTCTTTTATTGGTATTCACAGGATTATATATATAGAAAATCCAAAATAATCCACAAAGTATTGGAATAAATAATTGAATTTATAAATGTCACCAGCTATAAAGTCAATATACAAAAAGATATTGCAATTCTATGTACTAGCCAAAAGCACTGAAAAACAAATTAAAAAAATACAAAGCAACATAAACCTAGAAATAAATTAAACAAATCAAGATTTCTACAATTAAAACTATAAAACACTCTTGAGAAAAGTTAAAGACAACCTAGGTAAATGGAAAATTATACCATACTCATCAATTGGAAAACTCGATATTGTAAAGATGTCAATTATCCTTAGGTTATTTTACAAAATCAATGCAATTACAGGCATAGTACCAAAAATTCATTTGTGAAAATTAATCCTGAGATTCCAAAATTAATTTGGAAAACCTGGGGAACAGAGAAGGCAAGACAATCTTAAAGAATAAAAAAGTTGGAAGGCTTTCACTACCAGATTTCCAAAAATACTACAAAGCAACATAAATTAAGATCGTATGCTACTGATGCAAGAAAAGACAAATGAACCAAGGGGCAGAGATCGCCTAAGCAGAGAGGAAACCATGGTCTCTTTGATAAATCTATATACACACACCTTGATCCCACCTCACACGCTACAAAAAATTATTCAAAGTAGATCACAGACCTACATTAAAAAACAACAAAGAATCTAGAAGGAAACATAGGAGAATAGATTCATTATCTTGGTCCAGGCAAATAATTCTTAAACAGGTGTCAGATCTCAAGTTGATCTTTATGCTCATTAAAGATTAAGCAGCAATCTTTTTTTTTTTTTTTTTTTTTTTTTGACACAGAGTCTCACTCTGTTGCCCAGGCTGGAGTGCAATGGCACAATCTTGGCTACCTGCAACCTCCACCTCCCGGGTTCAAGTGATTCTCCTGCCCCAGCCTCCTGAGTAGCTGAGATTACAGGCACAGGCCACCACGCCTGGCTACTGTTTCTTGTAGAGACAGGGTTTCACCATGTTGGCTAGGCTGGTCTCAAACTCCCGACCTCAGGTGATCCGCCCGCCTCGGCCTCCCAAAGTGCTGGGATTATAGGAGTCAGCCACTGTGCCCGGCTGAGCAGCAATCTTTAGCAATCTAAACACAAGTTAACAGATGATACCTGACCTTTCTAAAATGCTCTTTAGGAACTACCTAACCCTGGCCGATTTCCCAGACTTCACAGTTCCTACTTGCTGCTAAGACCAGCATAACAGCTAACAGTATTACCACTGCTTTCAGATCCTACCTGCCCACTCCTGCCTCCTCCCCTCTGCATATGCCCCCAAATTGCTAGGACCCTATGATTCAGTCAGTGCAGACTCTAACCCAGTTTCTGGATAAGCACGGGCACGAACCCTAAACAAGTGAGAGTATTACATTCCCCAGGCCAGTGACTAGAGTACATGGGCAAGTGGCCAGTCAGAGCCAACTAGATTCAATTCTGATCATCATATTGGAACTGCTGAAAAAGACAATCACTCTTTTCTCCCTGAGACTTTAAGCTGGGAAGAAAGTAGCCAGAGTTTCTGGGGCCTGCTATGAAGAGACAACCTGCTTGGAAGAAATGCTAATGCAGGAGGATGCACAGCCAGGACAGGGAGACAGAATTCAACTATATAACATTTTTTTAGCCCCTGAATTTAGCCATGCCTGAAGCTCATTATACCCCAGGACTTTTTAGTAATAAATTATTTAAACCAACAAATTCCCTTTAAAGAATAAAAAGACAAGACAGAGATTGGGAAATGTTATCTGTAATGTATGTATATGTAATATACATATTTTACGTATATATGTAATATATGCTACATGGTTTATACGTATCTATACCTGTGTACCTAGATATAGATATACATACATACAATAAAGGACAAGTAACCAGAAGGAAGCCCTTTACTTTTTTTTTTAAAAAAGGAACCATAAATCTGGGTGTGGTGGCTCATGCCTATAATCCTAGCACTTTGGGAGGCTGAGGTGGGCGGATCACCTGAGGTCAGGAGTCCAAGACCAACCTGTCCAACATGGTGAAACCCTGTCTCTACTAAAAAAAATACAAAACTTAGCCAGGTGTGGTGGCACATGCCTGTAATCCCAGCTACTCGGGAGGCTGAGACAGGAGAATCACTTGAACCCAGGAAGCAGAGATTGCAGTGAGCAAGATCACGCCACTGCACTCCAGCCTAGGTGCAAGAGTCTGTCTCAAAAAAAAAAAAAAGAAAGAAAAAGAAAAAAAAGAAAAGACACCATAAATGGGTGAAATGTTTCAACAGGTGCCCTCAAAAAAAAAAAAAAAAAATCCGAATAGCCAACAAGCACGTCGAAAAGTACTCAAATTCATAACACATCAGGTAAATGCATACTCTCTGCTGGATGACTACAATCAGAAAGTGCTGGACAAGTGTGTGAAACAACTAGAACTTTCATGCATTGTTTGGGGGATTATTGGTGGAATCAATATATTTTGGAAACTGGAATACCTACCAAAACTAAACTTAAAGTCTACCCTATGATTCAGAAAATTCATTCCTGCGCATATAGCACTTACCAAGATAAATAAGCCCATACATCTATCAAAAGAACATTTAAAAGTCAAACTACACGTTATGTTGAGCAAAAGAAGCCAAAACACATAACTGTACATACTGTATTTTAACATTTAGATGAAAATCAAGAACAAGCACACCAAGTCAATTATAGTAAGAGTCAAAATTGTGGTTGCCTTGTGGAGTAATGAATCACTGAGAAAGAGGATGAAGGAACTTCCTAAAGTCTTGGAAATGTACTGTGTTTACCAGGACATATACATACATGAAATTTCATTAAGCTGTACATTGAAGATTGGCATACTTCATGCATGTTAGTGTATGTGTAACAAAATAAAAAGTGATTAAGGGGAAATAGAGTTACACTTTTAAAGGGAAAATAGGAGGGAAAATATCATAGTAGTAGAGTTATACTTTTAAAGGGAAAATATAATACTGTAGCTAAAGGTACCTGAAGCAATTCATCTTCTTACATTAAAAAAAAAAAAAGCGGTAAAATCTTTTTTGTTTACAGGTTTGAAGTATAAATCTTCCTCCATTTAAACAGGGTGACACCCTGTGGATGCTTACCTCAATTACCAAGGGTAACTTCCCTCATTCTCCACAGCTCTTGCTTTTCTTTTTTTTTTTTTTTTTTTTTTTTTGAGACATAGTCTTGCTCCGTCGCCCAGTTGGAGTGCAGTGGCGCGATCTCGGCTCACTGCAAGCTCTGCCTCCCGGGTTCACGCCACCCTCCTGCCTCAGCTTCCCGAGTAACTGGGACCACAGGCGCCCATCACCACGCCCAGCTAATTTTTTGTATTTTTAGTAGAGATGGGGTTTCACTATGTTAGTCAGGATGATCTCGATCTCCTGACCTCGTGATCCGCCCGCCTTGGCCTCCCTAAGTGCTGGGATTACAGGCGTGAGCCACCGCACCCGGCCAGCTCTTGCTTTTGAGACTTGCAAAACTATCTTTCCCCATGAATAGCGCGACATGATGCGACTGAACTGTGTAAGACAGACTGCAACGCAAGCAAAATGGCAATGCCAGAGCTTGCCAGAAAATCCAAGAAGTTGTATATAGTGATAGCTGTAGAGATGCTGCCTTGGAGGACACTGAAGTCAAGCAAGCATTTAATGTTTGGTTTTTTGTTTTGTTTTGTTTTTGAGAAAGGGTCTCACTCTGTCACTCAAGTTAGAGTGCAGTGGCATGATCATAGTTAACTGCAGCCTCAAACTCCTGGGCTCAAGTGATCCTCCTGCCTCAGCCTCCTGAGTAGCTGTGACCACAGGCATGCACCATCATGCCAGGCCATAACATTCAGTTTTGAGCAAATATTGATCAATGAGTCCAACAATCCAAAAAATGAGCTGAAAACTAGAGGTCACCAGGCCTTTATACATCTCTCTTCCTGTCTGATGGCCCCACTAAACATAGCATAATGGCTTTTTCTTCCCTTATGCCTTCCAAATCTCATACAAACTCTTATATTAGACAAGTCTAACCTAGAACTGGAGAAAAAAGTGATTTTGGGAAATGTAGTTAATGTAATACAATTTTTACACTCAAAACACTGAATCCAATTCCCAGCCATGAGCAAGGACAAAGAATAAAATATGAAAATAGTATATTAAATTAATTTCTGCTGAAATTACTCACTAGACAATAAAAGCTTTAAACAGTAAAAATTGACCATCTCAGAAACTCTAACGTCTCTCTTAGGAAAAAGAATAGGAAGAAAAATATTGAGTGGGCAAGTTCTACTATCCGCCATGTAGACTAAAAACAAAGCATCAACAAAAACTAAAGTGTCAATATTATAGTGACTACCCATTTAAAGAATGATGAACATAAATTAGAAACCACTTTTTTAAAAAAGACCACTCCTGCCTATACAGAAAAATTTTTTCACATCCTCCATGGATCCAAAAGATTTTGTCATGGAAATCATATTTACATCAGAACCAAAATTAAAGCACCTCATACTAAAAGGTATGTGGCTGGAGCTGAAAAGGTAAATTTATCACCTTAAATGTTCCTATCAGAAAACACTGGTAATCAAAGAGCTAGCAGTCTACTTTAAGGATGAGGCACTGATCTTCATTTCTAGTATGAATTTTCTTATACATAATAAGCAATGTTCATAAAGTTTTCAGTACATGATTTACATACACAGGGTTTCTCTGAAGTGTCCTCAAATCTTCAAAACGATGAGCAACAATTTCCTACTTTCTTACATTCATAGGGTATCTCCACAGTATGAGATCTCACAAGTTGCCTAGGATCTGAAGCTTTGCAGACGTTCCCATATTCCTTACATTTATATGTTTTCTCTAGTGTGAGTTTTCACATGTCTTCGAAAGTAGGCAGGACAAACAAAGGCTTTCCCACATTCTTGACATTCATAGGGCTTCTCTCCAGTGTGGCTTCTCACATGCCTTCGAAAGGATGAGGGACAACTGAAGGCCTTTCCACATTCCAGACATTCAAAGGGTTTCTCTCCAGTGTGCATTCTTGCATGTACAGTAAGGTATGAAGAATGACGAAATGCTTTCCCGCATTCCTTACATTCATAGGGTTTTTCCCCAGTGTGCGTTCTCATGTGGATCCTAAGGGCTGAGGGATAAATAAAGGCTTTCCCACATTTCTTACATTCATAGGGTTTCTCTCCAGTGTGAGTTCTGATATGTACTGTAAGGTGGGAGGAACTAATAAAGGCTTTCCCACACTCCTTACATTCATACGGCTTCTCTCCGCTGTGAGTTCTTAGGTGTTCGGTGAGGGACGAGGAACGACTAAAGGTCTTCCCACACTCCTTACATTCATACTGTATCTTTCCAGTGTGGTCTCTCACATGTGCTCTAAAGGACGAGGGACAACTAAAGGCCTTCCCACATTCCTTACATTCATAGGGTTTCTCTCGACTTTGATTTTTCACATGTGTATTAAGGGAAGTGGGGAGGTAGAAGGCCTTTCCACATTCCAGACATTCATAGGGTTTTTCTCCAGTGTGTTTTCTTATATGGATACTTAAAGAGGAGGGACAATTGTAGGCTTTCCCACATTCCTTACATTTGTAGGGTTTCTCTCCAGTATGTGTCCTCACATGTACAGTGAGTTTTGAGGACTCGCTGAAGGCCTTCCCACACTCTTTACATTCATAAGGCTTCTCTCCAGTGTGAATTCTTATATGTATTATAAGGTGAGAGGAAGAGCTAAAGGCCTTCCCACATTCTTTACATTCATATGGCTTATCTCCACTGTGAATTCTTTTGTGTTTGGAGAGTGAGGAGGAACAACTGAAGGCCTTCCCACATTCCTTACATTCATAAGGCTTATCTCCACTGTGAATTCTTTTGTGTTCTGTGAGCGATGAGGAACAACTAAAAGCTTTCCCACATTCCTTACATTCATAGTTTGTCTTTCCGACGTGAATCTTCATATGTGCCCTGAAGAATGAGGAACAACTGAAGGCCTTGGTACATTCCTTACATTCGTAGGGCTTCTCTTCAGTGGGGGTTTTCATATGCTTCTTGAAACAAGCAAGAAAATGGAAGGCCTTCCCACATTCCTTGCACTGATAGGGTTTGCTTCCAGTATGAGACTTGATGTGATTCTTAAGGGATGAATGATCCACGAAGGCCTTTCCACACTCATGGCATTCATAGGATTTTACTTCAGTGTTTCTCTTGAGTGAATCAAGATTTGGAACTTGGCTGAAAGTCTGTCCATCTTGATTTTCTTCACAACATTCATAGATATTCTCTACCATATGATTTCTTTTAAAAATAAAAGACACATTATTAGTAAGAAATGTCTACCAATTTCAGTGAATGTGTATGTTTTCTGCCCTTCTGTCAAGTTATAAGCCGAAAGTTCTCACAGAGAGTTCTACCATAGCCAATACCGTCACCCACCCAGTTATTGACTCCTGGGATTTTTCTGATAACTGTTTACAACTGAAGTATGTGTCAAACATTCAAAATCTCTGTCTCATTTGTGGAAAAAAAATTAATTCATGAAAATTCTTTCTCAAACCACAATCTTTGACCTAGGCTTGTTAATATATACATACTTCTTAAATTTCATGACTTTGAGATTCTCTCCTGAGACACTTTCTCTTTCTCACGAATGGCACTCACCTCAAATGTCTCTCATGGCTTTTGTTCTGATCATCAATACCATAGGACTCCTGGTTTTCATGTAAACTGGAGAACCAGGAATCATTCCTTTTGAATCTTACTATTTTTTGTTCATTGGATATTTTTTCTCCACAAATATCTTGTGGAGCAACTGATTCATTAGTTTTAAGTTGAGTCTCAAAACCTGAAACAGAAAAAGTGAAAGCTTCTGTGAGCAAAGGACTTTTTGCAGAGTGGCGTTTTCAGGACTTTGGCATTAATAGGCGCAAGGGTCAAAATGGTAAGCAATTAACTAAGAAATAATTCTATGAAGATTGAAACTTAAATAACTAAGATAGTATTAGGAGAACAAAACAGAAATTGGATAGAATGCACATGACCAAATGCTACCTTACAAAGAGGAAATGTGGAAGGTCTTTGCCAAGAACAAGGAAAATGTGACAAGACTGATAAAAAGTCAAAATAGTCATCTGAGATATCTGTGGAAGATGAGCTTCTTCATATAAAACAAAGTTTGTTTTTGTTTTTGATTTTAAGTTGATATTTTTCCCCCAACCAAAGCAGTTTCTCCCAAGGATTCTTGCCTTCCTGGTGCTCTCCCATAAAGATGACCTGGATAAGTTCTCTCTTCACTGTCTGCAGGTCCTCCTCTTGTTCCCACTGGCAGATCAGATGGGGTGTGTGTAGCAGATACCCTGCACAAGCAGAAAGGCATATCACAAGGGAAAATAATGAAGAATCACAAACATTTCCATGAGACAGAAACAAAACTTTAGTCTTCTGATATTCTGTGAGTTTAACTGCAACATAATGTCAATTTTTTTTTTTTTTAAAGGAGAGGTGACAGGCCAGGCGCAGTGGCTCATGCCTGTAATCCCAGCACTTTGCGAGGCCGAGGCAGGTGGATCACAAGGCCAGGGGTTCAAGACCAGCCTGACCAACATGGTGAAACCCCATCTCTACTAAAAATACAAAATTAGCAGGGTGTGGTGGAGCACGCCTATAATCCAAGCTACTCAGGAATCTGAGGCAGGAGAACTGCTTGGACCTGGAAGGCAGAGGTTGCAGTGAGCCGAGATTGTGCCACTGTACTCTAGCCTGGGCGACAGAGCGAGACTCCATCTCAAAAAAAAAAAAAAAAAAAAAAGGAGAGGTGGCAGGAGGAAGCAGCCTCTGACATATAGAACTGATCTAATGTTCACACCTAAACCTCAGTATCATTCCAAGCTGGTCAGTCACAACTGGGACATTTTGTTCTCCTATTGAATATAAATAATTTCACAAAATACTAATCTTGGATAAAGTTACTCTGAAATCATGATAAAATGAAACAAAACAAGGTTACCTCAAAATTTTGGCTAAAGACTTTATGCCACCCACAACATACTCAATAATGGAGTATTACTGAATAATACTGTCGGCAACCAGCAATACTATTCACTTTCTGTCAGCAACCAATCTAAAATGACTGCCCTGTGTCACTAGGCTGAACAACGTCCCCCCAAAATTTATGTTCAAATTGATCAATGGAAAAGAACAGTGGATTCAGAAACAGAGCCACACCGATACAGTCAGCTTACCTTGACAAAATAGCAAAGGCAATACAATGGAGAAAAGATAGTACTGGAACAACTGGACATCCCCAAGCAAAAAAATAAATCTAGACACGGGCCTTAGATTCTTCACAAAAGTTAACGCAAAATGGGTCACAGACCTCACTGTAAAATGCAAAGCTAGAAAACTCCTAGAAGATAACAGGAGAAAAATCTAGATGACTTTCTGTTTGGCAATGACATTTTTAATTTTTTTTAAGAGACAGGGTCTCACTTTATCACCCAGGCTATAGTAGTGGTGTGATCAAAGCTCACTGCAGCCTCAAACTCCTGGACTCAAGTGAGCCTCCAGCCTCCACCTCCCAAGTAACTGGAACTACCAGCGTGTGCCACCACACCCTGGCAATATTTTAGATATAATGCTAAAGCATGATCCATAAAACAAAGAATCAATAACTGAACTTCATGAACATTAAAAATTTCTGCCCTCCGAAAGACAATGTCAAGAGAATGGAAAGATAAGCCACAGCCTGGGAGAAAATATTTGCAAAAAATATATCTGAGAAGGAACTGTTATCAAAAATATATGAAGAGAGTATCAGATTTCATACAGAAAAAAATATATATATTCAGATAACTTAAAACTCAACGTTTTAAAAAAAAAAAGACAAAAAAAATGAGCCAAAGACCTTTACAGACACCTCACCAAAGAACATATACAGATGGCAAATAAGCATACAAAAAGATGCTCAACATCATAAGTCATCAGGGAAATGCAAATTAAAACAAGGCACCACTACACACCTATTAGAATGGCCAAAATCCTGAACATTCAACAAATGCTGGTGAGGATGAGGAGCAACAGGAACTCTCATTCATTGCCGGTTGGAATGCAAGATGGTATAGCCACTTTGGAAGACAGTTTGGCAGTTTCTTATAAAATTAAACGTCCTCTTACCATAAAATCCAGCAACTGAATTGCACTCCTTTTACCCAAAGGAGTTGAAAACTTATGTCCACATAAAAACCTGCACACCAATGTTCACAGTAGCTTAATTTATAACTACCAAAACGTGTAAGCAACCAAGAAGTCCTTCAGTAGGTCAATGGATAAACGGTGGTACATCCAGACAATAGAGTGTTAGCAGTACAAAGAAATGAGCTCTCAAGCCATGAAAAGACATGGAGGAATCTTAAATGTATATTGCTAAGTGAAAGAAGCCAATCTGAAAAGGCTACATACTGCATGATTCCAACTCTATGACATTTTGCAGAAGGCAACAACATTATGGAGACAGTAAGATCAGTGATTGCCAAGATTTAAGAGGGAGGGAAGGAGGGATGAATTGATAGAGCACAGAGGATTTTTACAGCAGTGAAACTATTCTGTATGATATTATAATGGTGGACACATGTCATTATATATTCTTCCAAACCCACAGAATGTACAATACCAAGAGTGAACCCTAATGTAAATGATGGACTCTGGGCAATGATGATGTATCAATGTAGCTTCATCAGTTATAACAAATGTACCACTCTGGTGGCAGATATTGTTATCAGAGGAGGCTATGCATGTGGGGGGCCAGAGGTTATATGGGAAATCTCTGTACCTTCCACTCAATTCAGCTGTGAACCTAAAACTGCTCTAAAAATAATAATAAAGCCTGCTTGAAAAAAAAAGAAAACAGAGAAGTCCACTCAGAACCTCAGAATGTTGCCTTATTTAGAAATAGGGTCTTTACAGATATATTCAAGTTAAGACATGGTTAAACTGGATTAGGATGGGTCCTAAATCCAATGATTGGTGTCCTTATAAGGAGAAAGAGACTTAGAAATCTAAGTCTCTTCCTTAGACTTAGGGAAGAAGATGAAGGCAGAGAATGGAATGATGCATCTATAGGTCAAGGAATGCCAATGATTGCAGCAATCACCAGAAGCCAGGAAGAGAAAAGGGAATCTTTCCCCCAGAGCCTTCAGAGAGAACATGGCCCTGCTGATCCCTTGATTTCAGAAACCCAGCCTCCGGAAATGCTGTGAAGGAACAAATTTCCATTGTTTTTAGCCACCAGTGTGTGATACTCTGTTACAGAAGGTCTAGGAAACTAATACAGCCTGCTTCCACAGACCCACCCCCAAATCACTCAACTGAAGCACAAATCCTATAATAGGTCTTTTCTAACACCCTCTTACTAGGACATGTAAGAGACATGTATTCTTGCTTGCTGCACTGCAAAATAAACCCAACTTGTTTAACTATAGGTGTGTTCTGGTAGTCTTTGGGTAAAGAACATAGATAGCAGTAAAATCCTCAAAATGTCCAAACTGCAAACCTCCTCCCTGTGTCCTATAGTGATTGCTGAGGTTTATATCCACACTTTCGATACTTAATAAACCTCAAGGCTTTCAACCACAAAAAAAAGCATCAGTTCAATATACAGATGTTTATTTTCTTTCTCTTTTTTTTTTTTTTTTTTTTTTTTGAGATGGAGTTTCACTGTTGTTGCCCAGGCTGGAGTGCAATGGTGTGATCTTGGCTCACCGCAACCTCCGCCTCCTGGGTTCAAGCGATTTTCCTGCCTGAGCCTCCCAAGTAGCTGGGATTACAGGCATGTGCCACCACGCCTGGCTAATTTTGTATTCTTAGTAGAGATGGGGTTTCTCCATGTTGCTTAGGCTGGTCTCGAACTCCCGACCTCAGGTGATCTGCCCACCTCGACCTCCCAAAGTGCTGGGATTACAGGCATGAGCCACCGCGCCCAGCCCAGGTGTTTATTTTCATAGGTAAGCCACTAGACTGTAAGTTCCTTGGGGTCAGGGACCATATCTGTCTTATTTATCAATGTCTTCCCATTCCTCAGCCCAAATTCTAGAATAAAGTCAATTTAGTGAGATAAAATAACTTTCTAAACAACTATATGAAAGAATCTTGCCATTCTTACCTAGTGAGGCCAGGTTCTGGAAGTTTTCCAGCATCACCTCTCTGTAGAGGTTCCTCTGAGCAAGATCCAGCAAAGCCCATTCTTCCTGGGTAAAGTCCACAGCCACATCCTCAAAGACCACTGAGTCCTAAAACATACCACAAATTCTATTCAGAAAGGTACAATTCCTCCAATGTGTACAAGAGGACAGATGAGACTGACAACATCGAGGAAATGAGAGTCATTTCATAGGAAGTTCAGAAGATCCCAGCATCTACTCTAGGACTCAGTCAACAAATCTCTCTTTCGATGTATACATAATTCATCACTGATCAAATCCTGGCTTGTAGATTTAACACTTCTAAAATACTAAATTGCCAGGCAAATTGGGTGAAGCCTATAATCCCAGCACTTTGGGGGGCCAAAGCAGGAGGACTACTTGAGCCCAGGAGTTCAAGACCAGCCTAGGCAACAGAACATGGTGAGAATCAGTCTCTACCAAAATTTTTTTTAAAACAGCTGGGCGTAGTGGCGTGTGCCTATGGTGGCAGCTACTCTGGAGGCTGAGGTGGGTGGGAGGATTGCTTGAGCCACGAGGTTGAGGCTGCAATGAGCATGACCATGCCACTGCACTCTAGCCTGGACAAAAACCAAAAAAAAAAAAAAAAAAAAAAAAAAAACCCCACTAAATTTATCTCCCCACAATTTGATGCCAATGAGCTAGGAAAAAACAAAGTGTTTTTCCCACCCTTTTACATAGTCACTCAATACTGTACAGAACACCTCTGACACCAGATGTGTAGGGGATATTTTCCACACACACCAAGCAATTCCCCAGTGGACACCAGCTGGGTATCTTACCATTTGCTTCTGATACTATCTACCTGGAGATTCCACAGGTTGGAGATTCCACACGAGGTCCCACTAAACTGCCTCCCACTTCAGATGCCAATCCCAAGTTAAAAGGCTGTCAATTTTACTTCTGACTGGCTAAAATCAGGGCTCCTACTGCCCTCTCCTTGAGTTTGATTAATACGCTGGAACAACTCACAGAACTCAGGGAAACATGTTTATTGGTTTATCACCAAGGACATTACAAAGTACACAGATAAAACAGCCAGATGAAAAGATGGACAGGCCAAGGTATGGTGGGAAGTGGCGCAGAGATTCCATGCCCTCTCCTGGCATGCCACCCTCCAGGAACCACCACACATCCAGCTATCCACGAGCTCCTCAAGCCAGTCCTTTGGGTTTTTAAGGAGGCTCCATCATAGGCATGGCTGACTTAAGTCCCAATCCTCTGATCTTGCCTACGTCTTTCTGAACCAGCCCCCATTCTGAGGCTCTCTAGGGGCTTCCAGACCCCAGCCATCTCATGAGCACACAAAAGACCCTCTTATTGCTCTAGAGATTACAAGGGTTTTTAGGAACTCTGTGCTAGGAAACAGGATGAAAACCAAATTGTTTTCTTTTTTTTTTTTTTGAGACAGAGTCTCACTCTGTCGCCCAGGCTGGAGTACAGTGGCACCATCTCAGCTTATTACAACCTCCACCTCCCTGGTTGAAGCAGTTCCCCTGCCTCAGCCTCCCAAGTAGTGGGGATTACAGGCACATGCCACCATGCCCAGCGATTTTTTTTTTTTTTTTTTTTTTGGTATTTTCAGTAGAGACAGGGTTTCACCATGTTGGCCAGACTGGTCTCGAACTTCCGACTTCAGGCAATCCGCCCACCTCAGCCTCCCAAAGTGCTGAGATTACAGGTGTGAGCCACTGTGCCCAGCCCCAAATATGTATTTCACAATATCATAGATGGTGACCAATGCCAGTCTTACGATGGCCTAGAAAAGTCCAGAGCATATTGAAGAAATGAGAGAAATGCTCTGGAAATGAAATACTTTCCACATTGACATCATCAATTCCTTACTACAGAAATAACTTCACCTGTTACTTTGTTCCCACCATAGCAATCACTACAACATTAAACACAGGGTCAAATCTAGATGGGGTTTTAATGAATAAAAATACACTGAGAGAATAGAAGCTTTTCATTTTTTCCCCCTCTCACAAACCTGAGAGGCCCAGGAGCCTGCACAAGCACAACTTTGAAGTGAGGCCCACAGCTGGTCATACTTCCTTGTATTCTAGGCCAGTAGTCAACAAACTATGGGCCGGGCGCGGTGGCTCAAGCCTGTAATCCCAGCACTTTGGGAGGCCGAGACGGGCGGATCACGAGGTCAGGAGATCGAGACTATCCTGGCTAACACGGTGAAACCCCGTCTCTACTAAAAATTCAAAAAACTAGCCGGGCGAGGTGGCGGCGCCTGTAGTCCCAGCTACTCGGGAGGCTGAGGCAGGAGAATGGCGGGAACCCGGGAGGCGGAGCTTGCAGTGAGCTGAGATCCGGCCACTGCACTCCAGCCTGGGCCACAGAGCGAGACTCCGTCTCAAAAAAAAAAAAAAAAAAAAAAAAAAAAAAAAACAAACTATGGCACATGGACTATATCCAAGCTGCCACTTGAATGCATAAATAAAGTTTTATTGGAACACAATAAAACATGTGTTTACTGTCTATGGCTGCTTTTGCACTAAAATAGCAAAGCTGAATTGCAATAGAAACACTATGGCCAGTCAGACACAGCGGCTCACGCCTGTAATCCCAACACTTTGGGAGGCCGAGCTGGGCAGATCACAAGGTCAGGAGATCAAGACCATTCTGGCCAACATGGTGAAACCCCATCTCTACTAAAAATACAAAGTTAGCCAGGAGTGGTGGCACATGGCTGTAGTTGCAGCTACTGGGGAGGCTAAGGCAGGAGAATCGGTTGAACCAGGGAGTTGGAGGCTACAGTGAGCCGAGATGGTGTCACTGCACTCCTGCCCGGTGACAGAGCAAGACTCTGTCTTGAAAAAAAAAGAAACACTATGGCCTTCAGTGCCTAAAATATTATGTGATCCAATATAGAAACAGAATGCTGACTTGTGCTCTAAAACACTGAGGGAGACCCGGTGCAATGGAAATATTCTTTTGGACAATTATTCCCTTTTACTTACCTGTATGCTATTTTTCTGTAATTCAACAGTTGTTCTTTCTTCCTCCATGTCCCCTTCATGAAGAAAAGCAGGATATTGAGAAGTTAAAAGTAAAGAAGATAACATGAGAAGCCAGACTTCCCCAAAATTCCCACACTCATGAGCCTAGATGTTGCAGCCCATCAATTATAAGTAACAACTCCCCTCAACACACACAGACACACACACACACACGCAAATATACGCTGCTCTTGTGGGAAAGTAGAACAACCTCACGTCCCCCTAGAGATAGAAAACAGTGCTCTGGTTCTTGCTGATCATAAAGAAGAGGTTAAGAGTGCTATTTTGTAAGTTAACTGAAGACTAGAAAAGTCTGGTTGTATATTTGCCCATGATAACAAAAAGTATAAAATGTATCCAGGAATATCTTCCACAACAAGAATAAACACTCCCTGTCTCAAATTCAAGAAAGCACTGATTTATACGCCAGGCTTCTGGGAGTTCCACTCCCAATATTTCTTACTTCTGCACCACTTGGCGGGCTAACAGGCTTTGCTGCTCAGCCCTAGACCACTACCCCTGCCCCATGAGCTGCAGGGTCCCCAAAACCTGAGAAAGAGCGTCAGCTTTTTTTTTTTTTTTTTTTTTTTGAGACAGAGTCTCCCTCTTTCACCCAGGCTGGAGTGCAGTGGTACGATCACGGCTCACAGCTCACTGCAAACTCCGCCTCCCAGGTTCACGTCATTCTCCTGCCTCGGCCTCCCGAGTAGCTGGGACTACAGGCGCCCGCCACCTCGCCCGGCTAGTTTTTTGTGTGTTTTTAGTAGAGACGGGGTTTCACTGTGTTAGCCAGGATGGTCTTGATCTCCTGACCTCGTGATCCGCCCGTCTCGGCCTCCCAAAGTGCTGGGATCACAGGCGTGAGCCACCGCGCCTGCCCAAGCATCAGCCTATTGAATTCCATATGCAGGAGGTAGAGAAGGCCGCTATGTTGTGACAAACATGCTAAATTTGCCTGCACAGTACAGGACTAGCAGAGTAAGACTACTTGGCCAAGCGCAGTGGCTCATGCCTGTGATCCCAGCACTTTGGGAGGCCGAGGTGGGTGGATCACAAGGTCAGGAGTTCACGACCAGCCTGACCAACATGTATTTACTAAAAATTCAAAAATTAACCGGGCATGGTGACGCGCGACCGTAATCTCAGCTACTCAGGAGGCTGAGGCAGGAGAATCGCTTGAACCCGGAAGGCGGAGGTTGCAGCCAGCTGAGATCACGCCACTGCACTCCAGCCTGGGTGACAGGGGGAGACTCCATCTCAAAAAAACAAACACAAAAATACTTAACCTGTGTCAGACCTGATGTGGTATCTGCAGGGCTGTTTCACAAATTTCAAACAAGGAAATATTAACAGTTACCTCCACTGCAATGGAACAAGTAGCATTTTTAAAAGCCAATAAAAAAACTGTAACATTCTTCACTGTATTAGTAACAATATATGCCAGCTGGGCAACCCTGATGTGAGAATGACTTTGCAAAGAAATGGCCACATTTTAGACTATTTCTCACAGAAGCTCTGCAATTCAAATATTATTATAACCAGTTTAGAATTATCTTAGAAAGACTCAATTAACCACATGTTCAATATTAACCCATTAGACAGCTGCTGAGGCAGGGTATGAATGCAGGCCTATTTGTCTTCAAAACCCAAACACCCCGTGAGTACATTTCTGAACACATACCTTAAATTTTAATTGTTATTAAGCCCCTTATTCCCTAGTTTTACCAGGATTTAGCCTAGAACTCTATTGGGCACCACGGAGAGTGGACAAATGAAGCATTCTAATCAAATATGCTGGGTGTGGTAGCTCTTGCTTGTAATCCCAGCACTTTGGGAGGCAAAAGTTGGGGGATCACATGAGGTCAGGAGTTCGAGACCAGCCTGGCCAAAATGGCAAAACTCCATCTCTACTAAAACTACAAAAATTAGCCGAGCATGGTGGTACACAGCTGTAGTCCCAGCTACTCGGGAGGCTGAGGCAGGAGAATTGTGTGAACTCAGGAGGCGGAGGTTGCAGTGAGCCAAGATCACACCACTACACTCCAGCCTGGGCGACAGAGACAGACTCTGTCTCAAAATAAATAAGTAAATAATCAAATATGCTATCTTTGAGCTCCTTCTCCTAAGGCCTATGTTTTGGACAACGACGCTTCCCTTATAGCCCTTACCTCCTTCATTTCATATTTATTTAGGTAACATTTATCCTGACCCTACTAACCCTACTACATGAAGTCACCAGGAATAGGCATAGGAAAAAAAAAAAAAAAAAAAAGAAAAAGAAAAATCCTGAAGTAAATGAATGTTATAATATTTTGGAGTAAGACACTAAGTAAACAAAATACATCAGGTAAAGATACATGCTATATAAAAAAATGTAGCACATTATAGGGATAAGGAGATACATATTTATCTTTAGCAAGTCAGGACAGGTAATGTGGCAGGGTAGAAGCAGAAAATTAAAATAACTGTTTCAGATAATGCTGGAATTTCAGAGGGTTTAGTATGTCTACTATATATTTATAAGCATTATTGGCCGGGCGCGGTGGCTCAAGCCTGTAATCCCAGCACTTTGGGAGGCCGAGACGGGCAGATCACGAGGTCAGGAGATCGAGACCATCCTGGCTAACACGGTGAAACCCCGTCTCTATTAAGAAATACAAAAAAAACTAGCTGGGCGAGGTGGCGGGCGCCTGTAGTCCCAGCTACTTGGGAGGCTGAGGCCGGAGAATGGCGTGAACCCGGGAGGCGGAGCTTGCAGTGAGCTGAGATCCGGCCACTGCACTCCAGCCTGGGTGACAGAGCGAGACTCCTTCTCAAAAAAAAAAAAAAAAAAGCATTATCAGCTCCCAGAGGAAAAAAAATCAGTATTGACCAGGCACAGTGGCTCATGCCTGTAACCCCAGCACTTCGGGAGGCCAAGGCAGGTGGATCACAAGGTCAGGAGTTCAAGACCAGCCTGGCCAAGATGGTGAAACCCATCTCTACTAAAAATACAAAAAAATTAGCCGGGCATGGTGGCAGGTGCCTGTAATCCCCACTACCTGGGAGGCTGAGGCAGAGAATTGTTTGAACCCAGGAGGCCGAGGTTGTAGTGAGCCAAGATCGCGCCACCGCACTCCAGCCCGGGGGACGGAGCGAGACTCTGTCTCAAAAAAAAAAAAAAATGGTATTAATAGGCTAGACTATTGATATATGAGGCTGAATAAAGACTAGCATAAAAGTTTAGAAAGAAAATAGAAAATAATATTTTTTAAAACATAGTAAACAGAATCAGAAAAGCTAAAAAAAAGCATCCGTTGCAAAAAGAAAAACTAATGAAACTGACAAATTCAGCTTTTTAAAAAAATTTTTTTATTTAATTTATTAAGACAGACTCTCTTTATGTTCCCAGGTTGATCTTATTTCCTAGGCTCTGGCGATCCACCTGCCTTAGCCTCCCACCAGCTGGGACTACAGATGTGCACCACCATAGCCAGCAACAAACTCAGCAATTTTAAGAGCAACAGGGCTTAAAGAACAACAACAAAAATTATGAACAAGAATGAATCATAATTACAGCTATCATAAGGAGAATATAGAAAAAATTTAAGGAATAAATATGAAGATGCACAGGAAATCAATACATTTCTAGAAAGTAGTACAACTTTCCAGCAATGATCTAAAACCTGATTACATCCACTAATCAAAGAAAAAAAAATCAGCGGTTTAAAACATGGTCAGGCTGGGTGCAGTGGCTCATGCCTGTAATTTCAGCACTTTGGGAGGCAGAGAGCCCATGAGTTCAAGACCTGCCCAGGCAACATGGCGAGACTTCTATTTTCTAAAAAGAAATAGGAATAAAGAAAGAAAGAAAAAAAAAACTACAAACACCTACAGCAAACATCCTATTTAATGGTGAAATGAGAGAATAATTCCTTCTAGAATCAGAAACAAGACAAGGATGTAAATTATATGCTAATTCTGTCGGACACTGTACTGGAGGTCCTGGCAAGTGCAGTAAAGAAATGAAAAGAAATGGAAACTGCAAGGAATAAAAAGGGAAAAGATTGAAACTGACAGATGACCAAATTTTCTGTGTGAAATGTAACCAATCAATAAATAAATGATTCAAATGCATCATTAATGACATAAAGAATCAGTTCACTTTTACCTGAATATAATGTATCAAACTGATGTCCACAGGCAGAGTATAAAATCCAGAGACCAAATACTATCTTTTCTTTTGAGACAGGGTCTCACTCTGTTGCCCATGCTGGAGTGCAGTGATGCGATCTCAGCTCACTGCGACCTCTGCCTCCCGAGTGGCTGGGAACACAGGAGCGCACCTTTTATTTTACTGGTTTTTTTGTTTGTTGGTTGGTTGGTTTTTTTGTAGAGACGGGATCTTGCTATGTTGCCCAGATTGGCCTCAAACTCCTGGGCTCAAGCGATCCGCCCGCCTCGGCCGCCCAAAGGGCTGGGATTACAGGCGTGAACCACCGCGCCTGGCACAAACACTATCTCATGCATAAAGAGGGCACAGGAGGGGACCGAGCCGAGGCAAATATCACCCCGTGCTCACCCGACTCGCCGCGATCCACAGATCAGCTCACAGAGAACGAGGCTGAGGCGCTTGTCCTTGAGACCCGAATGGCAGAGATGCTTTTCCTTTCTGGAAAGAGAGCAAAGGATGCTTTCGGAGGCTGATGAACTACGACATTCGTTCTCCAACTCTCGCCTGCATCAGAATCACTCCGATTTCTGGACCCAGACCAGAGTTCCCGATTCAGTGAGTTTGGGACCAGCCGCGGCCGCAGGGGCAGCTGACCCGGGCTCTCCGAGGAGGTGCCGCAGCGGCGGGAGGCCCGGGGCGCGGGGTCCGGGCAGGGAGTGACGGGGAGGCAGCCCTTAGACCGCCGATCTTCAAGCCGAGCCCTCAGTCTCCCGCGAACCAGACCCGGTGCAGGCGGGGCGGGGCAGGGCAAGACAGGAAGCCGACGGAGGCAAAAATGTTCTTCAGACGCTGGCGGAGTGGTAGGGTGACATGGCTGCCGACTCGCGCATGCGCAGAAGCGCACTTAGCCTTCCTGTTTCGGCGCTGCAAACGGTGTATGGGGCGGGGCCCGGGAGGCGGGACTTGAGGTGAAGGGGGTGGAGCGGGGAGGAGCAGGGTGCGAAGGAGCGCGAAGGCTGGTACCAGCCGCAAGTGGATGAGAAATCCTAGTTTCTTCATGATTGGGAGTAAACAGAGAAGAAATAGAACCCTGGACTGGACTTGGATGACTCGGCCTGACGGGCCGAGCTGGGGCTAGACCGGACCTAGGGGCGTGGCTTTTTAAATACTCCAAGGGGCGGGGCTAAGGGTGGAACCACATTGGGAGGGGGCCTTGGTTGAAATTCCTAGTGGGTGGAGACGAGGGCTAGGGGCGGGGCGGGGCTTAAGTGACTAGGCCTAGGAATGGGGCTAAGGCTGGGGCTTCCCATTCAGGTCCCTCAGCCACCACGGATACAGGATGCTCATCAATCGGGTTTATACCTATCCTCCACGTTGCTACAGCCCTGTACACAGGACACATTAATTTGCAACTCTAATATGACACAGACTGT